ACGGGCAGTGATGAAACAGGACCGAAGAGTCGCCGGAGAGAGGTCGGGGACGAAGAGGTCGAAGAAGGCGGCGGCGGTAGAGGTGGAGGAGGAGGAGGCGATGGATGAAATTTGGCGGGAAAAGGGGCAGTAGAGTAGGGATTTGGAACTGGAGAGGGTGAAGAGATCCGGGGAAGTCTTCAGGAGGCGAGAGAAGGAGATGAGGAGGGAGAGGAGGAGCGAGGAGGGGATTTTGGCGGGAAAAGGGAGGGAGCGAGGGGAGGGGAGGAATTGGGAGATTAGGGTTTGGTAGGGTTTTGTTAAGGGTCGGAGAGATTCCGGCGAGGTGGTCGGCATCGACGACGCCGGCGACGGCGTGAGAGGGTTTTGGGGGAGAAAGGTTTTAAGGGCGCGATTCCATTGAAGGGTTTAAGGGGTCAGTCGGAGATTCTGGTCAAATCCCGGGTTCATTCGATGGTAAATTTACTTCAAACCCCCAGACACTTTCAACATTTTGTAATGAACGCCCAGTAATTTTCAAAATCCCACTAAACACCTGATAACTTTTGTTGAAAACCCCCCAATATATTTTGTGTAATTACACTAAACTACTAATAACTTCCAAATGCCTTTTTATTTCTTTGTTTGAATCTATGGGTGTAATCTATTGGGGTTTTTTGTAATTCTCAAAGTTATTGGTGGCTTATCGTGATTTTGAGATTTTTGAGGGTTTAGTGCACAACATTGGAAGTTCTTCAGCATTTAGCCTAATTTATTACCGGCTAAAATATCAAATTGGCCTTAAAAAATGACCCCCGTTGACCAATTTGGTCCCAAAAGTGAGTTTGGCCTAAAAAGTGACAATCTTATGACAGAAAGGTTTTTTCGGTGCTAGAACTTCAACTAAAAACTAAAAAAACTATGTGATCGCATGTGATCATCAAAAATTAAATGAAAATCTGACGTGATTAATATTAAACATTATAGAAAAGTGTTGAGCATGTCAATAAATACTATAATTTGAAATTAAGATAGGGGAAACTAAAGGGGAAAAAGAGGAATCAATTCCCGATCTCAAACTCAAATTAAGAGAAAGAAATGAAGGGGAGAGAGAAATGAATAAATTGGGGATACTTGTTCGTAGAGATTTGGAGTTAGCTCATAGCATTACGTTGGAGAGAGGTAGAATTGAAGAGTGAGTCCTTCTCATGGTCCCCAAAGGTGAGTTTAAATTATGAAATTCAAGGCTTTTTATAGATTGTTTTAGGAATTTTATGGGTAATGAAGACCCAAAATTGGATATTAGGGTTTAATTTGATTTCATTTGGTCATATGTAGTATTTATGCAGTTAGGATTATTTTGCTGAAGTTTGGGACAATGCTTGATTAATTTTTTATTATGGCGGTAAACTTTCATGTTTTTGTAATTTCTTCTTTCTATTTTGCACATATGAGTGCAGGCTGTCTAAAAATCACTGCAGATAGCTAATCCCCATCAAACACCAATAATAGAAGTTATAATTTGACGGTTTCCAGAATACTACAATTTGAAAATTTTTACGTAGATCGATGAAGGTTACAATCTAACAACCTTCATAGCAATCGATGAAAGCTATAATTCAACAGCCTTCATAATCAACATCGGGAGTTACAATCTGATGACTCTCATATTTTTAAGGAGTCAAGATGAAGATTATAAAATGACGATCTTCGCAACGCTCTAGCAAAAGAGACTATAAATTGACGGTCTCTTCAAATCAAGACGCAGAGCTCACCTCTGCGTCCCATATTCAAAACGCAGAGGTCATGTCCGCGTTTCAAATTCAAAACGTAGAGGTTGTGGCTGTGTTTTAGATTCAAAACACTGGGCTCACCACTACGTTCCAAGCTCAGAAGGCAGGGCTCACCACTGCATTTCTAGCCACCAATGCGGAGCTCAACTCTGCGTTCCAATCGCAGAACGCAGAGTTCTTGCCCAGAATTCAATTCTTGCATTTGACTCATTCAAACACGAGCTGAGCAGTTTCAAAACCGTTTTTCATGATTTGAGGGGATCACTCCCCCATTTAGGGCGAATTAAGGGGTGATTACTCCCCTTAATCCCCTATAAATGGCGAAAAACTCAATTGAGTTCGGGATCTCCAATTTGATCGACTTTTTGCATCCAAAATATCGCATAAAGAGAAATCGGCATTCGTGTTCTTGGAGATCTTGGAGCATCCTTTAGCAACAAAGGTCTTAGAGCGTAGATCTTGGCTATAAACCGATTTTTGGTTAAATCAATAAACTCTTTTACAAAGTTTTAAACTCACCCTGAGTTCTTAAACTCGTTAAGAGTTATTTTCAAACTTGCTACGTAAGTTCTCCTTAATGTCAATCAAGAGGAAAATATCGTGTTCCAACGAGGTGAAGCGTTCGGATCATCAATGTGATACAAGGATCTGAACTCCCATCGACACCAAGAAGAACTCAGATTAAACAAATGGAAAGGTCTCTGTCGTTCCTTTCTCTCTTTTGTAACTCGGAAAACCGATCGAGAGACTTGTAATTTCTTTTTCTAAGTTTATTAGAGAGAGATTACATTGAGAGAATTGTAACTCATTCTTTTTCTAAGTCTGTTAGAGAGAATAATACAAATTTAATTCTCCATTGTCTTCTTTTAATTTTTTCACCAAACAAAAAATGGCGACTCCGCTAGGGATAAGCTTTACTGATGAAGAAGTGGTGGTGCAATCTGACGTCAATCTCACTGGAACAACGGTTGGAACTCTCGTGGTAGATTTTGATCAAGCCAAGTATGAGGAAGCCCTTTCCTCCGGATCCTTTAGTCTCAAGGCTATGCGCAAGGTCTACAAGGAGACCAAAGCTCCAATTATTGCTGAACTACCAAAGGAAGACATCTCCTTTGGATTAGATAGCTCGGACAACCCCTCCCTTGAAGGAGTGGGCTCATCTTCCAAGAAACTCATCAGTCGAGTTGAAGAGTCTTTACCCACTCCAACACGGAGTATCAGGTCACAAGAGGCCCATTGCGATGGCAAGCTCGATCAATACAGCTGACATCGTTGCAAAAGACTTGAAACATGCCAAGAAAAATATCGTTCGACGATGGAGAAGATCCTTGTGACTAGCTTATCTCCGAGATAGTTGATCTCTCAATCAATGCGAGCTCCGCATTTTTGAGCCTCAACAAGAGCTCTGTGTTTTTGCTTTAGAACGCAAACCTCACGTTGATGAGCCCAAATACGAGCCCCGCGTGATCCAACTAAAACGCAACCCTCAAGGGAGCGTTCCAAAATCAAAACGCAGTCCTTAGGGATGGGTTCCAACATAAAAACGTGGTCCTCAGGGACGCGTTTCCCAAACAAAACATAACTCTCAAGAGTGCATTGCAGAACCAAAACGCAGGTCTCCAGACCGCGTTAATCAGCCTAAATATAGTTTGTGACGCCCTTGGGTTCACACAAGGCTACAGTCCGAGGTGAAACCAGAAATGTCAAACCTACCATGCACCACATCGTGCAATAACATGTTTCACCATCACAATTACTATCTTTCTAGTGGAATCAACAACAGGTGTAGTACAAAACAAGTAAAAGATTTTACAACAAATGCTTGATGAAATGATAGGACTCAAATTAATACATCTCATCAATCAAATAAGCTGAAGTACATAGTCAAAGTCAGAAATGAATAATAAAGATCTGGAGACCTCAATATGTCACAAAGTACAAAATGTCTGATACAGGGAATAAGGCACACAACCTTTATAACTCTAGAACATAAACCTCTCAAGTCTAAAATGTCTCAAGTGGAGTACAAAAATAAATACATCTAAAAAAAAGAGGATAATAGACACTAGTAAGAGTCGCCCTCAACCTGCGACTCTCCGGGCTCCTGGCTCGTTACCTGAAAAGGGGAGGGATAACGAGCGTCAAAGCGCTAGCGAGCAACATCACAACCAACCCCAAGGGATAGGGCTCGTTGTATAAGAAAATATAATTAATACATAATAATATAAATCTTTTACACAAACATTAATAGGTTTTAGTACTTAGGGAAGTACAACACGAGCATAGGTACGTCGAGCGAAATAATCCAAACAAGGAAACTCTCATGTATATACCTTGTATCTCAAATTGTAAATCCCTAAATATTAAACCCGAGATTTGTCACAAGCAAAAATAAAGAAATGAATACAAACCTATCTCTATCAATAAAATGTAAACCTGTCAAAGCTACAATAGGTGACATGTCCAGCCTAGGTAGCTATTATGTCACAGCCTCATACAATATGTCGTGTACCCAAACTTGATTTAGTAACATGCTCAAGGTTTAGCAAAAGTCTAAAACATGACAGTAATGGATTATAGTCCAACACGAGGACTTTAAATGGATTATAGTCCAACACGAGGACTTTAAATGGATTATAGTCCAACACGAGGACTGCGTATAAGAAGGTATGCATGTCTTATTCCTGTACGTACCCTACTGTACTGACTTAAGCTTGTGTCTGAAATGTCATCTTACATGTACAGGTGAAATCATAATCACTGCAATTAAAGCAAATACTGCGATGAGTCGACTTGTGCTCAATTATGAGTCGACTCAGCAGAACACATTTGATAACGGGAAAGGACTTCGTGAGTTGACTCATGGTTTGTTATGAGTCGACTCATGACTTATGGGTCGACTCGTATACTGACGAGTCGACTCAGCAGAATTAAAAAGGCAACACAACTAGACTTCGTGAGTCGACTCATGACAGTCCTGGGTCGACTCAACCTGATGAGTCGACTCATGATGAGTCGTGAGTCGACTCACGGGCTGAACAAAGCATTTCTCACAACTGTAACTCGTTCAACTCGATCCACACTTCCATTTACTGACTCTACACTTCTATAGCCATCGATTCTCGACTATGATACAGTGAGAAAAACATATTTATCATGAGAAACGATTTTCTTGTAGGTTAAATCTAACATTTAACTCCTATACATGAAAG